AATCGCCTCTCAGTCCCATTCCTCCTCGTCATCGTCCTCCTCGTCAAATTCTCATTCGCGTACCCGAGCAAAGCTGGACACCGATCGTAGGGGACGTAAGACCCGAAGGAAAAATGATCGTCAAAAATGCACCAGCCCATCCTCCACTTCATCCTCCTCCTCCTCTTCACCCCCAGTCGTCTATGCTGCTGCTAAACTTGACAGCCTCGTAGGTCTGAGTCCCGTGAAGTCACAGACTGCCGCTTTTTTGCCTGTACTCAGCAGCGAGGCCTCTTCGACCAGCACTTGTTCCACTGCTTTAGACGCGGAGCCCAGCCTAGCAGGCGATCTGGCTGCCAGTGGGCCTCGAACTCTGCGTCTTGCCGTCTGTCCTATGGCCGGTCACTCAGCCGGGCCTCAGCTGCCTCTTCTTCAGAAGCCTTCTCCTTCCCCACCACAGTCATTCGCTTCGTCACAGTCGCCTGCCATCCTGACACCAACACCATTACAATCTCTTCCTTCTTCTTCTTCTCCTCCTCTTCCTCCTCTTCCTCCTCTTTCTCCTCCTCCTCCTCATCCTCCTCCTTCTCTTCTTCTTCCACCACCACCACCACTACCGCCACTCCTTGGCTATCCAGGAAGATCGATGGTACACAAGTCGGAAGCGGACAGTTCCGCTAGGAATCAGGTGAGAGGTAGCTAGGTGATGAGGTAAATAACGTAAAATTACTAGTGAAATTGTAGGAGTTTAAAAATAGATACATCAGTTGTTGTCGCCATATTTCGTTTAAGTCGATGAGGGGATTGGTAGTCGAATTTTCTCACAATCACATAAATAGTCCCCACAATTCCACCGAATTTCCCATATCCCTGCTTAGCAAAAGGTATTCTTATCCAGGCAGGAGTGGACTGCAGGTTCGACCCCGTCTAGGTATCATTAACACGCATGGCGGGACTGAAACCCTGGTTTCGGTAGTAAAGCATGTAATCTCAACACGTTAACCACTATGCAACCTTGCTGCGAGTGCTCTTGGGTTATAGAGTAGATGTGAATTTTAAGGAAGGCCAAGCATTTTCCCATGTCACATTTTTTAGTGTCATTGTCTATGAATGAGGTGACAAGATAAAGAAGCAAAAGGCTCTTTGATTAATTTCATGCGACATGACTTTTCATTTCAAAGGAAATAGTTGGTTGGAGGCGCTTTATAAATTAATCTTACAAGAACCCGAAGTGAAGTAAAGAATTTAACCTACGAGAACCCGACGTTTTTCCTGATATGGGTACTTCACAACTAAGCGGAACATCAGGAAGTTGATTGAGATGA